AAAAAAAAAAAAAAAAAAACATTTCATATACTTTGTAACGAATTGTTTGTCGTACTTTTTTAATAAATATATATAAATATTTTAGAATTGATTGATTATCTATCATGATGATGAAAAATTTTCATGCTCAAATATGATTATTAAAAATATAGTATATTTAAAAATACGACGTTCGCCATAATGAAATACATTTAGTAGCCTAATTTAGATAACATTACTATAAATACATTTGTTTTTTTTTTTTAAAAAAAAGAGACTGTCGGGATTTGTAATCGTTAGATCATCATGTAACCATCGGGGATAGTTGATCTAACTGTTACAAACCACGACGGAATAGTTCCTTAACGGGATCGTAGCATTTTCCTTAAAAATAAACAGATCAATTTTGTGACTTTTCTATTCCCAACATTTAATTGTATACAAAAAATAGTAAAGTGGAAACCTTGGAAGGAAGTAACCTCAAACAAAAGAGAAACTTAATCATCAAATCTGACCTCAGAACAAGAAGTCACCATGGACAATCAGCCAGAAACAATACTGGCGAACAACACAACATCAGAGAATCTAATATAGAAGAACTAAGAAAAAAAACAACAAAATGAGAAATCAAAAGGGTTTGTTGAAGGTGTTATTCATCTCTCATAATTAATAGGAAGGCAACAAATTAAAGACTCATGAATTTGTACATCATCCCTTCAATTTATACTTCAAAAAAACCCTTTGAGACCATTAATCTATGAATTCACCAGAGATGACACCATGAACTCAGATGAAACTCAATAAGAGAATAAGAAGAAGAAGAAGAAAAAAAACTAATAACCTTGGAAAAATTAAATGAAGAAGATCAAAGGAAGTAACAGAATTAGCAAAGAAAACTAAGGCAAATCACAATCCCCAACACAAACACAACACAAAAAACACACAAATTGTCACAAACCCTAGTGGCTTCTACTACCATTTTCTTCGTTTTCTTTTTTTCAGTAATTAGAAATTAAAAATTAGGGCGACCTGTCCCGGACCAGTATCCCTCCGCCGGCATCTGCACCGAGCCCATCATGCTCTGCGGCGCCCCTTGGAACATTCCCGCGTTCGGGTTCGGGTCGCTCATCGGCATCGACCCCATCTGCCCCCCACCACTAGAGACGCCCGGCTGCTGCGGCCCCGCCCCCGACGCCTCCTCTTCCTCAAGAGGCAGCCGCTCGTACGCCGCGTTCCCGAACGACGCGGCCATGATCACGACCGGGCCGGAAGCCAGAAGCGGGCCCACCACGGCTCCCCCGACCACCTGCCCCTGCGCCCCGGCCAGGTATATGCTGAGCCCCGAGGCGGCCGGCGGCGCGGGCGGGGGGAGGAAGGATCCGGAGAGGGAGAGTATCTCGAAGCGGCCCTGGAGAGTGAGGACCGACCCGGGGGCCGCCGGCTGCCGGAGGGTGACGTTGGTTACAGTACCGGTGGCGCTGAGGATGCAGACGCCGCGCTGGCGGCGGGTGGCGAAGGCCGAGATGCTCTCCTGGACGTCGCAGCCGTTGGCCACCTCCATCACGTGGGAGCGAAGGGCGTTGGCGCTGTCCCGGGTGATGATGATGGGGGGCTTCGGCTTGTTCTTGGAGCCGGCGGGCCGGCCGCGGGGACGACGGGTGACTTCGCCAGAGCCGGAGCCGCCGCCTCCGCCGTCGGAGTTGGCTGCGCCGGAGGTGTTGTAGTTGTCGTCGGCTGCGCCGCCGCCGTCGAGCTTGATGCTGCTGTTGCCGCCGCTGTTCTGCTCGTCGTCCGGGTTCTGGGGAGGCGGAGGCTGGTGGTGCTGGAACTGGTTGTGGTGGTGGTGGTGGTGGTGGTGGAGCTGGAGGTCCCGTGCGTGGAAGGGCGGTGGCAGAGGGCGGCCACCGTGGGTCAGCTGGTCCATATCACTTGTATGTATGTATTCTATCTATCTATGTATGTACGTATATCTTCTTTGCTTGGCTTCAACAAACTCCGATCGGATTTTTTTCTTTTTCAGTTGAATTTGAAGGGATCTCAGGAAGAAGGTGTCGGAGGCGGCGAGATTTGAGTTGAATCTTGCATCCTTTGAGTCCGATTACAACCTCCCTCTAAATAATTAATTGCTTCTTTCCTGAGCTAAGAGATGCAGAGAGATAGAGAGAGATGGAGTTAGAGATTTTTTTAAAGAAGCAATTTTGGGGGTTTTGTTCTAAAGGGGTTAGGGTTAGGTCAATAGAAGGGGAGAGGAGGAGATTAGATCGAGTTTGATGAGGAGACAGAAGAAGAGAGAGAGAGAGAGAGGAGTAAAGAGGCACAAGTTGTTAAAATTGACAGCGTGCGCATGGGCGGTGTGGGTGGGGCCCACTTTCTCTCTCCTTTGTCTCTTAAACCCTCACCAGTAATTCATGCAAGAAACTGAGGGTGAAAGAGTGGGGAGTTAATTAATTAATTAATTAATTAAACTCTTAAGGTTTTCCCAATTTTTGGCACCATTTGATCCAAATTTATGCTGCAGCACATGGCTGCTGGATTATCATCAATTAGTGCAGTTCATTTGGTTTCATCTACTTTGCTTCCTAATATGTCAATTCAGAAAACCAATTATTGAGTGAGTCAAACCTACTATTTAATGCAAATTTATGTTTATGTTATGACATGTCATTTATGAATGTTTATTCATTATTTTGTCTAGCAAGTGTATTATTACTCATGTCAAAATTGTATTTGAAACAATGAAAACAAAAACTAGTTAATTATATACATGTTCATTATGAATAATAACTAGTTATTCGATCATGTGCATTTGCACAGATATCTATATTTATATATCTATACTTATATAAAAAAAAAACATTCTATTTATTAGAATTAGTAGTAAGAAAAGTCAAAGCGTAATTAATGTATTCTATTTCCATTAAGTATTTCATTTAGTTATTATAGTTAATTGTTTTATCTCATAACACTTTTTCAATACAACTTACCATGATTTTTTTATTGTGATTAAAAACCAAATTTTACGTTTAAAATCTTGTGAAATTATTATTATTTTTTTTTATAAAGCACATATTATTTGTATATATAATACACATCACAGTATCATGGTAGATGATTTATATTTCAACCGACCAAAATGCTAATGATTTAAATTTGAACACACCTATGTGTTTGACCAAATGTCTGGATGATTTAACATTGAGCCTATCAAAAATTATTTAAATTTGAACACACCAGAAATTGTAAGTTTATTTATAAATTTATTGAAAGCGGTATTTAATGGCTGTTATATAAAATATTTTAATATATTTGCAATGAATAAAAGTTTGAATGAATAATTTGTAATGTTATTCATAATGTTTGTGACTTATGAGACACGAACACATAACTCCATACATATTTGTCAGAGGGCGGCTTAATAATTTTTTAGACTTAACGATTAAAAGAGGAAGAAAATAGATAATAACATTATTACTTTTTAGACTTAAACGGACAAGACTGTGAAAATAACTCATTTAATATTTTTGTATCGTGCATCGCACGGGGTACGTACTAGTATAATAAGAATTACTACCCCCTATTCTTTTTAAATGTCATTTTGACATTATTAACTATTTACAAAATAAATGTCGTTTTGGATATTTTGTACATATTTTTCTATTATTACCCTCATCTAGCTAATAAATACACTACATCTTTTCATATTCACTCTTCATCTTTTCTCAAAACATGCATCTCTATCCTCATTAATGAGGGTTATTATTGGCAAAAAATATATTCTTAATAATTGTGCAACTTCTCAAAACGACACTTATTAGGGTGTCTCCAATGGTTAACTATTTGGCTAGCTATTATGACGTGGACAAGGGAAAAGTAAGAGAGAGAGTAGTCACTAGCTACTAACAAATAGCTTATCTATTTCACGTAGCCCAAGATCATGTGAGAGGAGTATGTGGGTCCAATAGTGTAAAATAGTCATTTTTCTTATATCTCACATCCACGTCAACTGACTATATAGCTAGTAATAGCTATTACCATTGGAGATGCCCTTAATATGAGGGAGTACTATTTAAAAAAAATAGTAACAAAAAAAATAGGAGAGAATTTAATGCAATCAATAAATAGTAAGTTTTATTATTTTTTATTTTTATCTTTAAAAAATCATACAACATTAAATGTTGCATTAAATTTTGGGCTTTAGTTCATTTTATTATTTAAAAATTACAGCTAAGATCTATTAAGTGTGCATTTTTTTATTTTTATTTTTTCATAGAAACAACAAAGAACATTAAAATCTCAGTCTCTATATTTATAAAATCTTAATTCAAAAGGCAATAATTTTTTTTTTTTGAATATTGGTCTTTATATTTATGCCTTTCAATAAAAATATTGAATGCGATTCTTTAAATATAATTTACACTAATCATCACAATTTTTTTTTATTTGGAGCGTGTGATGATAAACTTGGTAATGTTTATGAATTCTTTGTTTAAAAATCTATTATTTTTTCTATACTCGGTTTCAAAAGGTAAAATAATTTTTAAATTCTCGGCCTCAATAATTGTGCATTTAAAAAAGAACTTAATGATAATATATTATTTGTTAATAGTACATGATTTTAAAAACTCCATTATAAATTGTATGTTGATATCTAAATCATTTTATAAATACAATCGACTTTGTTAAATCTCCATGAAAATATGGTAAAACAAAATGAGACGATAAACTCTGTATAGAAATAAAATAAAATCAATAAATCAATATGAAGTTCACAGAAAATTAACATAACGAATAATTTGTATAGTACACGGATCCAAAAAATATTACCCACGTAGATTCGAAAATTCAAACTTGTACTTATTGATATAGGATATTATACCCACAAGTGTAAATCGGTCTGCCGAACCGGTCGAAGGGATTGTACCGTGAGGAAGCCAAACCAATCTAGCGGTAATCGAGCGAGATGACGATGGTCGAGCACCTTAAAGGTAAGACCTGGAAGACTCTAGGACAGACAACGTATCCCAAGTAGCGGAAAGATCGACCAGTGAAGCAGTCGAGCAGTCGAGTAGTCGAGTAGTCGAGCAGTCGAGTTGACCTCAATAGATCGACCACTTTATGAATTGACAGTATTCTGATCGACCTAGTCACAGGCGCGTGCAAGAGCCTCTAACCGAATTTAAGGGAAATATTCATAGGAATAATCATCCCATGTGCAGAGAACACGTGGCGAGAACGCATTGGTTGACAGCGACAACCACCTCTGACAACTCCCAACGTCTCCTCTGACATACGCGCGGTGTGTCAATGTACGGACGGAAAGCTAGGGCAGCCAGCTCACTATGCCAGGGCAGCCTTTAGGTCAGGTATCTCTCCCCTTTATAAAGAGAGGTGAGCCTTTCTTCCTTAACACACAATTTCCATTATTCTACTCAAACATACACATACTTACTTAAGCATCGGAGGCTCTTCACCGGAGAACCCCCCAGTGTGAGAGTTGTTTGCAGGTTTCCGGCATTCCACCGGCGAGGACGAGAGGCGATCTATTCCAAACCGGCCAGGACGCTCACACTTGCATTACTTTTTATCACTTCTGAAAAGTGAATAATATAGTGTTGGCAAGATTTTTTTAAATAGTTTTAGATGTTTTATCTATAAAATAGTTTAGAAAATTTTTAGGTGACTTCATGTTTGTTATGTTTTTGTGCTTGTTTTCTAGTGTTTTATGTGTTAGTCTTGTCGTTTTTAGGTTCGTTTGAGTGTCAACCGATCCATTTTGTTGTATTTTATGTGTTTTCGCTTTTGTTATGTGTTCTTGTATTTTGTCATGTTTTCGCGTCTCCTTTGGTGGGGGTTTAGGTCCAATTTGCATGATTTGGAAAACGAGTTATTTTCCAAGGCATTTTCGAGCCATCCAAACTAGCATCGTGCCACCCGAACCAATGACCGAACCAAACGAGCCATCTCCCGAGAATAAAAGTCAAGAGCCGCACCGGGAGCTCGTTGTGAACCACTGTTCGTGAGCTGCGAAAAGCTGCGCCCAACACTAGCTATGCGCGCACACTCGCTGCGGATAGGATTTGGCGCCCTGCGAAGCGGCTTGTGCGGATCAAGCCACCTCGAGCACTCGCTGCGAACGGCATTTGGCATCCCGCGAAGACAGCACACATGACCTTTACCAGCACGCACTCGCAGGCGAACCACAGCTCGTGCCCGGCGAAGCGCACCCCCCTCCCCCAATCCATAAGCAGCTGCACTCGCAGCGAACCACCACTTGCGGCCAGCCAAACGCACCCAAAGCCCACACTCGCAGCGAACCTCCGTTGGCGACCTACGAACGCCCTTTTCTGCACTACTCCATGCTCAAACTCTCTGTGAACTACATTTTGAGAACGACGAACTTTAAAATTTCATTAAATGTGTGTGTTTTTAGCGTGTGTTTGTGGTGTAGCTATAAATAGACATTGTTCTTTGTATTTTTGGGACTTCATCCTCATTTCCCAACTTTTAAGTTGGGAAATCCTCTCCACTTTCTCTCTTTTATTTTTATGCTTTAGTTTGGAGCTTTATTACTCTAATTTTTCGGCGACATCATTTTATTTCAAGATTCGAACTTTTCCATCTGGTGTTCTTCACGTATGCATTAGAAGAATGGGTAATTAGCTTTAATCCTCATTACTTCAATTTTGCACATTTTTCTTATGATGTGTTTCAAGGTGAACTTGCTTTTGCTTGCTGAATGGAGGAATGTTCGATTCTTGTTGCTTGTTGATTTGTGTTAGGCATTAGTTTGTGTTTATCTTGTTTAAAGGTTGCGACTTTGTTTAAAGAGTAGTCATTAGTTAGAAAGCTCGAGTTAATCACCTAGTATCACATGGCTACTATGATGTTGCTTGGTTCGTCGTGTCAATTCGAGTGATAGAGACT